GTTTGACTATAAAAGTTATTTATTTCTAAGTATATAAAATGTATAATGGTACTAGTAATAATACACATTCAAGGGAAAACAAACAAAAACAATATTACCCTGGTTTCATTGAGTATTTGGGGAAACCTAGCTCAAGCTTAACTAATAAAATTCAGGTTCAGAAAGCTATGCCTAGAGAGAAAAAGAAAGAGAGAGAAAGAGAGAGAGTGAGAGCTGGGATCTCACCGTTTCAAGGCATTCGGGTGATTTGTTGACAAGCAAAGTTCTCAGCACGATCTTTGAAAGGGAGATGGTCTGTTTCTCCCAGCTTCTCAAGAACAATAGTGGATGGTGTCAGAGATATTTCTCTCTCAGGAAGCACACTGTTTGCTGCTTTACAGCTTTCTTATACCCTTAGTCTAGCCTCTTCAAAGCATTCTTTTAATTGTGTAAATCAAGAGGGTCCCAAGCCATAATTGACAGGAAAATTCCTGTTATATAAACAGTTTAAATTTAAATGAATTACCTTTTTCAGTGACAAGGGGTTATCTGGTTTGGAACATCTCAAGAAACTGATTAACAACCAGGAAAAACATTAAGTTTTAAGGAGGAACCAGACACCTAGGAGCCAGCTTGAAATTATTATGAATATACTGGAAGGGATCTTTTCAGATGGCCTAGCTATGCTTGCACTGTGAAGTCAGCATTAGTGTTTTATATTTTACCTGTTGGGAATAAGCCTTAGCTTAGCATGACTTTCAGATTTTACTTAAAGGGATTGATTACTTGTACTGTTCATAAACTTTGCGAGGAGGACTTCTACCAGTCATCCCAGGAAATGTATGACAGCATTTGTGGTCAGGGCTCCAATGGGCTGGACACTGTGATGAACCCTTAACCATTGTTCAAATGTTGCCCATACCCCCTCTGATTCAGTTTCTTGCCTCAGCATTCCCTAAACCGGCAACCGAGTTTTAGTCAATCAAGTTTAAATAGGCCTCCCATTGTGGGACCGGGGAGTGTACGGCTCGAGATGCCTATTAAACTTTTCTTCTGCTTAGTTCTGGTTAGATGGGGCGGGGATAGAAAAAGTTTTTTGTAAGTCCAGGAAGCTGGGTGCTAGGCCTCCCTCAGGAAGACAGAGCTGACAGGTAACAGAGTATGAACAATTATGAAATATCTATTCATCTTTGTGATGGAGTTTGCTTATTTTGTGGGCGATGTAAGATTTTGGAGACTCTGGGGTGGCCACATTTCCCCCACATCCTAACTGCTCTCCCCTAACCAGTCGGGGGCACTGTAGCTTCCCTCCCGAGACACACCTGTTCCCATCCTGGCATAGGGGAGGGTAGGATGGGGCTGGCCAGCTCTGAGCAAGTGCAAACCATCTGCCTGGAGGAATAGAAGCGGGGCATGAGCTAGGTATGAAGCAGTGGAAACGAGCAGTTCTAAGCCATCCCTGGAGGTATTCAAGAGGTTCAAGAAAAACACCTTTTCTTTCTTGCTGGTGAGGCCACATCTGGAGTACTGTATTCAGTTTTGCACCCCTCACTACAGAAAGGATGTGGACAAATTGGAGAGAGTCCAGTGGAGGGCAACAAAATGGTTAGGGGGCTGGGGCACATGACATATGAGGAGAGGCAGAGAGAACTGGGCTTATTTAGTTTGGAGAAGAGACGATTGAGTGGGGATTTAATAGCAGCCTTCAATTACCTGAAGGGAGGTTTGAAAGAGGATGGAGCTGGACTGTTCTTAGTGGTGGCAGAACAAGGAGCAATGGTCTCAAGTTGCAGCAAAGGAAGTTTAGGTTAGATATTAGGAAAAAGTTCCTCACTGAGATGGTAATAAAATAAAACACTGGAACAGGTTACCCAGTCAGGTGGTGGAATCTCCATCGCCACAGGTTTTTAAGACCCGGCTAGACAAAGCTTTGGCTGGAAAGATCTAGTTGAGGATGATCCTGCATTGAGCAGGGGGTTGGACTAGATGACCTGAGGTCCCTTCCCACCCTAATTTTCTATGATTCTATGATCATGGACCAATGGCTTGAAGTTGCAACAAAGTAGACTTAGCTTGGATATCAAAAATAGTTTTCATTGGTAGAGCAATGGAATTTCATTGGTAGACTGTGGAATAGACACCTAAGGAACGTGTGGACTCTCCATCACTGGAGCTGCTAAAAAAAAAGGTTGGACAGTCACTGGTCTGGGATGACCCAAGTGTAGCGATAGCTTCTACTATGGGGATTTCCCAGGCTTTTTGGCTTTGCTAGTTGTCCCCACCCCCCATTTCTGCTACATGTCATGGTGTCTTTAAGCCTCCCTCACAGACATTGGGTGTTGGTTGCTGTCAAGTCTGGGGATGGTAACTGGGCTGTGCCAATGCTCCTGCTGGGACCAAAGCAGGAGATTCCTGTTTAGAGGGTTTTGCCCCTATGCTCAGGGTCAGCCCAGTGCCATATTTGAGGTCAGGAAGGAATTTTAGCCCATGGACAGATTAGTATGGACTAGGGGTGGTTTTTGCCTTCCTGTGTAGCTGGAGTCATGGCCTCTACCTGGGATCTCTTAAGCATATATTGACAATGGCCATGTCTACGCAAGACACTGACTGCGCAGTAGCCTGTGACTACTGTGCAGTAGCGCTGGGTGGCAGAAAGCATGATGTGATGCTACTATGCAGTAGTCTTGAGCTACTGCACAGTCAGCATCACGAAAAAGCTGTTCAGTGACACTACTGCACAGTAATTCAGGTTACTGCACAAGTGCTAAATGACTGTGCAGTCAGTGTCTCATGTAGACATGACCAACATTTCAAAGAAGTAGGACACTGGGTGCCATGATTCCCTTGCTTTACCTGTGGCAGATTAGACTGTTAGGTCTGCGTTGTGTCAGGGTTGATGGTAGTCTTATGTAGAGTTTAGATTATGGATTGCACAGAATGATTTGGATAGGGCTCATCCTGCCTCAGGCAGGGGGTTGGACTAGATGACCTCTGGAGGTCCCTTCCAGCCCCGCTGCTCTCGGATTTTCTATGATTTGTTTTCCCATAAACAAGAATACAGTCACATGCATATATTACTTCTTACAGTGACATCTCAGGAGAAGAGAAATGTTATAAAGCTGTGTCAAAGTAAATTAAGAAATTAATATAAATTTTCAGTTGTTATTTGGTGTTTTGAAACACCAGAAAGTGCTTTTTGACTGCACTTGGTTTCTCAGGTATAAAAAAGGGTTCTGTGTTTGCAGTTTAGTGACTAGATACTATTAGGAAACTCATTTTTTTTTCTTCTTAGTCCTTAAGCTAAACTTTGCTTTTTTTCTCCAAGTTCATGAACATGATTTTGCATTTCAAAGGAGTCATGAATTGAGACAGTTCTTAGCTCATGGGAAAAGCCTTACTTTTTACATTCTTTTTCTTAGTTAAGCTGTAAGCACAGCTTCTCCTAGAATCTCTTGAACATATAGTAACAACCTTTTATAGAAACAGGATGTTGGCTGCCATGGTTCCCCTGCTTTCCCTGTGGCAGATTTAGGAGTGATGTCTATGTTGTGTTACGGTTGATGATAGTCTTATGTAGAGCATAGCTTATGGATTGGATGGGATAGTTTGGATAGAACTGATCCTGCCTTAGGCTGGGGGTTGGACTTGATGTAACTTCTGGAGGTCCCTTCCAGGCCTACTTTTCTATGTCTCTATGACAACATTTATTTTTCCCTATAATCCTAAATTTATCTCACAGCCTGATATGGATCTGCATCTATGATTTATTTCATATGTGTTAAAATGCATACATTTTGTATGTCATGTCTTTTTCATGTATTGTAACAACCATGAATTATGCGAATAAAATCACAGACATGTATTTTTAACAAGAATTAATACTAATGTTGATGCCATGTCACTTTCATACTTCCTTAAGATACAGCATATAGTGCATAATTAGATTATGTTCCTTTTCTGAAAGAAGGGCCTTTAAAGATATAAATTCCTGGTTAATAGATTTGAAACTTACTGGCCACAGGGAAAAGGCAGTGGGAGCAGCCTGAGCTGGGTCACAGCCCCACTCCCACGCAGCTCATCAGAGACCCAGATAACAGAGGCTCTTGAGCCTCAGACTTCCCCAGTGGGTTTTAGGGAATTTACCCAGGCTGGGTCAGAGCCTAGGTCCATCTTGCCCAGTCTCCTGTGTCATGCAGTGGCCGAGAGCAGATGCTGAAAGGGAAAGTGAACTGGGTCTGACAAGGCCGTGCCTCTCACTCCCATAAATTCCCCAAATCCCACTAGGGAAGCCTGAGGCTCAAGTGCCTCTGCTATCCAGGCCCCTGATGAGCTGTGCAGGAGGGGGGCTGGGACACAGCTCAGCCTGCCCCCACCAGCCTGCAGCAAGAAGCCACCTGCACCCAAGTCCCCTCGGCTGGCGCTGCCAGAGCGGGCCACAGCCACAGCCAGGGGTGAGTCCTGCCAGCTCTGGACAGACCAGGCAGTGGCTCCTCTCAGCCCACAACCTGCACCTGCTCCAGGGTCTCCCCCTTCCCCACACCTGAGTCTGCTACAAGGGCAGGGGCAAGAAGGCAGCTCCTGAGGCATGAGGGGAAATGGCTCCAAAGGCAGTGGGGGGAGGTCCCTGAGCGGGCCACAGCCACAGCCAGGGTTGAGTCCTGCCAGCTCTGGACAGACCAGGCAGTGGCTCCTCTCAGCCCACAACCTGCACCTGCTCCAGGGTCTCCCCCTTCCCCACACCTGAGTCTGCTACAAGGGCAGGGGCAAGAAGGCAGCTCCTGAGGCATGAGGGGAAATGGCTCCAAAGGCAGTGGGGGGAGGTCCCTGACCCTGTGCCATGGACACTGGGTCCACAGACCCGCGGGGTCCCCCACAGCACAGACCCACGCCCTTCCTCTCAGGCCCCTGCGCGGCCCCCAGGGCACTCGGGACAGCGCTGCTCCCCTGCTGCTGCTGCAGCTGTTTCTGGGGGCAGCGCCCACGGGCCGGGTCGGACCGGACCGGACCGGGTGCAGGCACTGATGGGGGCTCTGAACCCACACGTGCTCCCGCTCCGCCCGGGGCTGCACGAGGGCCGCTGTGACCCGGCAGCGCAGGCCCCGCACCGGGCCACGACCGGGGCCTCACCTGCGGCCCGGCCGCCGCCGCCCGCCCTGCGGGAGCCCGGCCGCCCAGGTCCTGTCCTGCTGCAACCAATGGCTGGGGGGCCCCCCCCGCCAGCGCCCGCG